TTCCATAAAACTAACCTCTAAAAGTCTAAAATTAGAACACAACTTCAAGAAGAAAAATGAAAAAGAGTAAAAGACTACCCCTCAAAAGATCACTGAGACAAAACCAGCATAAATAACATGAGAAGAGCACAAAATGCCACGGCCATATCTATCAAACATGAAATACCAGCTCAGCACATCACTAAGGAGAATCTCACCTGTATCTGAGTGGAACTGTCTGAAGCCATATCACCAACTCCTTTAGGAGGTTTGGTTACTCTTAGAGTAGGGATTTTATTCAGCATCTCAAGAAGAGAACGTGTTACACGGGGCCTGGATGAATCCCATTCCCTTTTATGGTTTGCAGGCCTTACATCTTGCTTTGCAACCATCTCAGGAAAGCAATTGTCCTCCAACTTCCTACTTTCAGATCTATGATCACAAAATCTGTCATCCACTACCTCAAAATGGGCAGATAATTTCTTGTAATTATCACGCCTTTTACTTTCCTGACCATATCTAGTAATTCTTCTTTCACCATAATCAGACACTGAAATTATTTCCTGGTTTCTCTCAATAGACCTAGATCTCTCAATGTAGTGGCTTTCAAAGGTATCCATTTCTGGTGTGTTAAAATAGCCAGTGTCAACCTACGCAATGTAGCAAAAGTTGTGATTTCACGTAGATTGACTCATTCTTTTCAACTGAAAGAAAATTCCAATTATTTCTGGCCGATCATCATTTCAAGCTCAAATTATATTCCTAAACAATAACAAAGAAAAACAAGGTTTGGCTCACCATCTTTGCATTTGAAGGCCTATCCCCACTTTTCTCACCAGTATATTTTCTGTTCACGTAAACTTGTTTAATAAAGCCCCTCAGTCTTTCCACATTACTGATAGAAAAAAAAAAAAGGAATAAGTGCATTGATTATTTCCCAAAAGTCCAACAGAACAATACAATTGAACAGAAACCTGTTGTCGGGAATTGAATGACGTCCTGGCTTCCAATCTTTGAAGAAAACATCCTTAGCAGGCTGTAGAGAAAGAGATCCAAAACACAATTAACTACTAAACATGCATAAAAAACTACAATTAACATAGTAATATAAAAACACAAGGCAAACACTATATAAGGGCATTTGTGTTCACCTCATTTCCTCCTTTCTGAAGAGCAATAACTTCTTCCGACGTAAAGGTGGCCAATGACACTGATTTCACTCGATGCGAAAACTCACGACTTGAATCATTTTATGCATAAGCAACAACACAAAAATAAGCAATTTCGCATCAGACTGAAAAATGTCATAAATAATCAGGCTGAATCAAAATTCCAAACTGTCATCTGGAAAACCAAGAATTTCCCATACATTTACATGTAAAACCACATTCTGCACTCTTCAGAAGGAAAAAATGAGTGAAAAAGTTTTTAATAAAAAACAAAATGAAAAGGTATTTTACAAGGGTTGCCTTCCGTATATTTTGAAGACTTATATTAAATTGTTGGACCACCAGGCTGGTAAGCCTTCTTTAGAAATTCACAGAGAGCGGCAATACTTACTGTACTCCGGCGCACGTTGAGCAAACAAAGGTCCAGAAATCAGTAACCACGTATTGAGGTCCCTGAGTAAAACAACATTCATAAAAGGTGGGAAAAACTGAAGAAAAGGAGCGGAGGCTCCAGCAGGGGGTGATTTATGTGACTTACGATGCTATCGCAATTAATGCAGCGGCGATTGGCCGGAAGCTTAAAGAGAAAGCGGATGATTTTCTCGTTCTGGTCGTCAGTTTTCCCTCGAAACGCCATTTGTTGACGGAGTAAATTTTTTCTTGGGAATCAAACGGAGAAGGCTAAAAACGAGAAGGAAAACAAAGAAACAGAATGGTGGGAACAGAAAGCATTGAAGAAATGCAATTGAAAGAGGTTCTTGGACGGTTTTAAGGAAAGATTTTAGAACTAAATTAAGTAAAGCTGGGCTGTTTTGCAGTTAAGCATGCAGGGTATAGGCCTGTAGGGTGACTGGAAAATACTGCATGGCCAAAATTAGTATGAGGACGTTTTTTAGGACTGTAATTTTATTTTATTTTACGAGAAAAAAAAATTAAGAGTTACTGTTATTTAGGAGGATGTTAGACGTTTGATTGTAATTATTAAATATGTGAGATATGTTAATGATTTGAGTAATTTAAAGATAACTTTGTTTAAAATTACATGATATATAAATGAGATTGAATTAAGAGATAAAAAAAATTACTTTTTATTGTATAATTTAATATTAAAGAATAAATATTTTAGATATAATATGGATTCTAACTGTATTAGATTCATCATATGATTATTATTAGAAGTTTATCAAAATATTTTTATTTTTTATTTTCCTTTATTTATTTATTTATTTACCATCTTTTAGTTCTGTTTGGAATAGGTAGAGTTGAGCAAAAATTAGCCTGGTACCTGTATTAGAGGCAATCTCAACAAGCTGTAAAAAATTAGGATCTCCGGTCCATATATTGCAGAATATGAAAGTATATTGCCTTTTAGGCATATTAGCAATGGGAATTATACAAGGAGAAGGATGAAAGCACGAAGGAGGAGGAAAGATAATTTCAGATGCATTAAAGTATCCAGTCTCCATTCACTGGAAAGCCCTGTCTAACTTATAGAACATTTTGTCGTTGTGCCACTTTTTCTATGTTAGCCAGCCGATACGTATGAACTTCAGATCAGTCAAGTATAATTAAGAGCAGATTAGATAATATTGTTCTCCTCAATATTGTCACCCACAAATGCTCCGGCCTTGAACCTCTTATTATGATATAATATGGTGTAATAATCAGCCATCATTAGCCAAGAAGTGCCGATAGAACCAGCCATATTTTTTAGTTCATTTTCCATAAGAATACTGTTTGTGGAGGTGTATTAAAAGCATATCTAATAGTAAACATAAATTTGTCTCCAGCCATCTGAACTAGACAAATATGCCGGTCTCCACATGCAGCAAAGCACGGTTACAAAGATCTTTCTATCCTTCCACACAGCAACCATATTCTTCCATTGAATGTATGAGAGTAATTATCAACACATGTCCAGGACCCTCGAGTGCCTTAAGTACTCTCTTTTTATTCAACTATTTTTGTGACGCCCTGACCTGAATCTCACGTTGGGATAAAAGTGTGAGTGTGATTGGTATATAATTATTATAATTAGTTATTATTAATAAGTTGTTAAATCAATAATAAACTTATCAAATACACTTATATTTTTTTTTTGTAGCCTTAACCATGGCCCACCACTCAAAAGCTTTTAGATCATACATGGTAATGCTACTTTTTTTTCTTTTTTTGTTTTTTGCTTTTCTTGCTTTAGAATATTCCTTTCTTCTTGGGTTAATTTTCTATGTAATCAAATTGCTTTAGATCATTTTCTATGATTTAATTTATGGGTAAATCATCAGTAGAATTTATCCATTTTAAAATCAGCTTTTAATTTCATGGTTTAGTATGGCCCCAAAAAAAAAAAAATCGTGGTTTAGATAAATTTTTATCATGCTTTATGGTATATTGATTGAGACCAAGAACATAAACGGACCTCCAAATGATGCATGAGCAATTCAAACTCAAAGTGTTTGTTAATGTATCAGTCATTCGTATGTAATCTCTCAATGGTTTTTCTTTTTTTTTTTAAATGATATTGTGGTACACCATGGAGAGAATAAATATACGTTAAAAATCAATTAAATGCAATATTTTTTATTTGAAATATCATTAATTTGGATTGAATGAAAATATACCTTAGTACCCACGTAGTGATGAAAAATGGCAAGAGAACCAGGAGAGAGACTTTTGACTGTAGTTTTTAAAATTTAGTAGTTATATAAGATATTAATATTTATCAGTGGAATCTTTAATAAAATTAAGCATGAAAAATTTTTTTATTTAATTTTTTATAAATCTAACTGATAAATATTTTTTTTTTGATTATGTAATTAATATTAATGATAATCTAATATTTTAAATAATAACCACCTTGAGAAAGAAAAGGCAAATTCAGCTTGCTTGGAAAGGGGAGCAGCCTCGTCATTTCCCCTTCCCTTCCACTACATCTTTTTTTCATTTCTCTGTTTAGTTTTCATTGTCCTATTGCTTAATTATCAAGTTTGTCAATCTTGGATTCAGAATTCCTTTTTGCTTTTCTACGAGTTTTGTCATATCTTTATGCAGATTTAATCCGTTCTACTGTTTGTGAGGGTCGGTACGGTGTGTGTAGCTTAATTGGGAGAATTACTTGTTCCGGTGGGAATTTTCATGTGTTGTTTGCGTCTCACGACTTCAATTCTAGGAATTTCTTTGGTTGTAACAAATTTTAGCAACCGTTCAATCAGAAGGAATAATATCTATTCATTTTATTTTTAAAAAATTATTTAAAAATTATTATATTTTAATAAATTTTTATTTAAAAAATTAAAATATTTTATTTTTAAAGTATAAATTAGATTTTTTTTTTTTTTTATACTGTTTTATTAAAATTAATTTCAAAATAATTTTTCTTTTAAAAATTAAAAAATAAAACAAATAACACTAATTTTATGTAAATTACATTTGTTAATTTTTTTTAAAAAAGTTCTTCTTAACCTTTTAGATTTGTTTGAGATTTTGTAGCAGCCTACGAAAGATTGGGTGGGACACTTAAAATTGAGTTTTCAAAAAAATAAAAATGTAAATTCTAATGAACTCACTATTAAATAATATTTTTAATAATTTTAGTTAGACTTTTTTATTTTATTATTTAAATTATATTAAATTATACAATAAGAATTATTAGTTAAAAGGAGACAATCTTAAACTTCATTTAATAATTTAAATTGTGTAATTTAGAATCCGTTTGATATAACAATTTAAAGGTAGTAATTAGCGATTTTGTTTAAACCACTAAAATAAATATGTGGTACACTTATTTATTCTGAAGTTGCTGCAAATTAAGTGTTTGATAAAATTTTTTATTTAACGGTTTGGGATTAGTGGATAACAATTAGAGTTCAAATCGTCAAGGGATTAAAAAAGCTATTAAAGGTAACTTTTGCATCAAACAGTTAATAGATTGAAATTTTTTAATTTTATTTGACTAATTTATCCTTTTTAATTTTTTATGATTTTTAATTAGTTTTATCTAATTAGCTTCAATTTTTTTTACTTTAATAATATTAAGTAATTATTATATTTTTTTACATTAATTTGTTATAAAAAATATATTAACTTAATAAATAAAATTTACTAATTAGACGAAAAGATTAAAATTTTTTTGTATTTTATTTAAAACTAATATAATTTTTTTATTAAAATTAAAAATTAGAGTATGATTACATTATAATAATTTATTTATTTTTATAAAATTAATAATTTTAATAAAAAAATATATAAATAAATAAAGACACGTAGTTGTTTTTAAATATATCTTTATTTGTTATTTAATTTCAAATAACAACCACCAATTATTATATAACCAAATAGTTATGTTAATCGAATCCACTATCTACTATCCTCCACTCACTTTTTACTCTCATCCACTCGCTTTCCACTATCTTCCATCTGTTATCCGCTAATGTCTACCACTATATGCTACTTACTACTGCCATTAGCTACCGGCTATCTAATGAATTTCAACAATTATACCAAATAGACCCTAGTGTATTTTAGATTACATAATATATTTTTGTTTTACTTAATAAAATTAGTTTTATTAACAAAAAAAAAATATCCTCTATGAGTATTTGAAAAACCAATCATTCAAATGATTTATTTATGTAAATCATATTTGTAAATTTTCAGATTAATCTAGCATTTATAAGTATTTGATCAATAAATTGTATTTTTTAATATTCATTTAATAATATTAAATTTTATACAATTAATGAACTAATTGCATATGTTTAATAAATTTAAAAGTTTATACGGATGATTTACACGAATAAATAATCTAATTCAACTATTAATTTTTTAAAATATATATTGTTTTCTCTATTAATTATCCTTGCACATAAAATTAATGTTTTTATATAGCATATAAATAATAATTAAATTAATTATATAAATAAATAAAAACAAAATGGAGTAAACACTGTGTTTTTGTAAATGAAATTCAGTCAATCAATCTGTAAAATCATACACACTACTAGAAAACGCAGTATAATCGACAGAAAATACTGT